GAAGTGCATGCTTAAATGAAGATGAATAAAGATGAATAAAAGTTTTGTGAAAATGACTACTGAGTTCCGGTGCCGTCTCTGGATGCCTCGACGAATAAAAGAACAGGGGTAAAACTGATTTCGCAACAACAGAAACTTCAAGAAAAGCTTTCTTTCCTACTTCCGTTTATTACCATATCCTTTCTGCGGCATACTCTTGTCACTATGTGAAAGTTTATTATAGATATTATTTCCATCTAAGGACCAGAAATATCCAGTCCTGATGGAAATATGATATCACGATTAAATTTGGCCAAATAGCCTTGATGGAAGTGAGATGAGAAGGCTGCATGAAGCGTGTGCATTAAAGCAGAATATTTATGACAATAATATCCGCGTCTGTGTGTCGGGTGTGCATATCTGTTTAGAGTGTGTGCATCTGCGTGACTGTTTGAGTGTGTGTAACTGCCTCACGCTGTACAGGCTTCATTTGCACCAAGCAGTACACTGCTCTGACTAGTATCCGAGTTCCTGTGTATAATTACTGACACCGGAGTCACAATGAATAAAACATGCACTATACACAAAGTAATACCTGAGCACTGGTTCAAACTATCACTCCCTACATGGCCCATGATGGATGAACCGGGCAGAGAAGGAAGTAAATGAAGCCGTTTTGTATCAGTGAAAAATGTTAATGTTCAGAAATGTATGATTTTAACTTTTGAAATATTCATTAAAAAAAAGACCTGTTTTCATGGCACATAACATTTTGCAGTGACTCCACATCCAGACTCATTTTTTCCCCTTTTTTCCACTCAGCACTAATCCACAATCGATGGTTTGAAGAGAAGATAACCTTAGATAAATAGAGAGAAATTTTCTTTACCTTAAACTCATTCTCCTTGTCTTTGGTGCCCTTGTGAAAGGGCCGGTCATATCTGAACCTCCAGATGTGATTAAACTTGTAGAAGCTTTTGATGTTGTCAGGCACTCCATCTCTCTGTAGCACATCCTGACTGTCGGGGATGGGGGTTACAGCATAGATCTGCAGGTCTGAAAGCCCCTGAAGTTAAGGAAAGTGCAAGAGAGAGTGACAAGGGAAAGCACTGCAGACTTAAATGGAAAGAAATCTTCAATGACCCAAATGCATATCGGAACGTCAAACAGGACAAAGACACACATAGGCAAGAGCTTATGTGCATCTTTAATCAAGATATTGGCCACACATTTGCTTGCATAGACTAATGTAGGGGTAGGGAACGTTAGTCCTAGAGAGCCAGTGTCCTGCAGGTTTTAGATCTCACCCTGGGACACCATATCTGACTCAAATGATTAGGTCATTATCAGGCCTCTGGAGAACTTCAAGAAATGTTGAGGAGGTAATTTAGCCATTTAAAGCAGCTGTGCTGGATCAAGGACACACCTAAAACCTGCAGGACACCGGCTCTCGAGGCCTGGAGTTCCCTACCCCTTGACTAATGTATAGTCAAGCCAGACCAACGTATCAGCTAGTTAATATCATTGGACAATATCAGCGATTTGCTGATATGTGTATCAGCATTTGTAACTGCTGATAAAGGAAATTTTTAAAAGATGAGACAGAAGAAACACCTTTCGACCATGTTGTAAGCGATGATGTTGCGTAGTTTGTCCACCAGAGGGCACTCTGCAACTTCCATGTTGACAACACGTTTTTGAAACCATAAAGTTTAGTTTTAAGCTGCATTGTCAAATTATTTCTAGAACAGACTCACTAATATCTTCACAAAATAACTGTGAGGAAAATCTTTTTATGTTTCAAAATCTGATATATATCGGTCTATATATGAGTATGAGAAATTACCAAATGTCGGTACGGCCTTAAAAATCCTATGTTAGTCAGGTTCTAATGCACAGCACATATCAAATTTTGCTCAAATTGTGTGTAATGCGTGTAATATATGTGTAAAACATGGTGAAGGTTCTGTCATTGTTTGGTAAACGTTTCAAAATTGATGTAATAAATGCAGAAAAGTACTGGGAGACTTTGAATCATCAATAACATAACAACACCTGCATGGCAACAATGTTTCAGCATGACAATGATCCCAAATACCCTGAAAATGCATTAAATGCATATCTGGATGGAGAAGTGCACAGTGGAGCACTGTTAGTCATGGACTGGCCTCCCCAGATCAACATTATTAAAGCAGTGTGGGATCATCCTGACAGAATATGCAACAAAAAGCATCAAACATCCAAAGAAGATCTTTATATGTCCTTCGAGAAGCCTGGTGAACTATTCCTGAAGACTACTTAAAGAAATGACAATAAAACATGCCTAAGGGAGTTCAGGCTATGTTGAAGAATAAACGTGATCATAACGTGATCATACCACATATTGACTTCCAAGCTTCTTAGGATTATACAAGCTGTTTTTTGCTTAATATGTTGTATTGTCATGTATGTTTCCCCATGTTTCAATAAATCGCAGCACCTACTTCCCCTTTTCCTGGCAGAATTAAAGGAACTGATGGGTGACTCAAAACTTTTGCCCAACACTGTAAAGCAAGAGGGAAAAATAAGTTTTTCTTTTGACTAGTATGAGAAAACATACAGTGAGACTTGACAACTTGAGCAGTGTAAAAAGGCAAGGAGTGAAAAGTGAGTTAAGTGTCTTTCAAAAATGCCCAGCCTCTCCTTTATTATGAGAAACCCTGCACTGATGAACAACTATATCAGAGACAGGGAGGAGAGCTGATGCACAGGAATTCATATGCATGAGTGTTTGTATCAAGGATTTACAGATGGGTGAGCAATCAGAGAGACTATTGATTGGCCTAATGTGAGAACAACACAGCCGCTACTTCATTCAGACGTCACTTTGAGTGGGGCATCTGTATAAAAGGCAGGCACATCACACATAAACTATTCAAAAATGAAAAGTACATCTTAACTTGAGGCTATTTTCTAATCAGTTTACATTTTGATGTCACCCGCACACCGGGAATATTTCCTAACGGCAACTTTGAGGGCTGCAACACTACTGTGTTGACAAACTCTGCCAACCTCCAGACAGGAAGACATACAAACACCTGCCAAAATACTTTAAACCTTTTTGCGATTGTTCCTGCTACACTAAGACTGCAATTTGCCGCAGTGACAAACACACACACACAGAAAGACAGACACCAGCCTCACTTTCATAGCTGGTAAACACGTCTCTCCATCTTCAGCCCTGTTCTCTCTTTTACTGTTGTTTCCTTCAGTCTTTGTGTCACTATGTCATCGAGTCTGCCTGTTTTCTTCCCTCTTCTATCTAGGCCAACAGTTGTCCCTTACATTGGTGTGAATAATTAAAAAGTCCCACATACTGTAGGAGTGAATCTGAACACTGCATGAAAATGAGAAAAATGAAGGGAGCTTGAGCTTAGGTTAGTTGATTTGTACCTGGTCCCTGGTAGGAACATGGCTTAGTTGTTGTGTTTAAGGAAATGCAACACCTTAGTGCAGGGGTCCCCAATCCCAGTCCACAAGGGCTGGTGTCCCTGCAGGTTTTAGATGTGTCCTTGATCCATCACAGCTGATTTAAACGGATAAATGACCTTCTCAACATGTCTTGAAGTTCTCCAGAGGCCTGGTAATGAACTAATCATGTGATTCAGGTGTGTTGACCCAGAGTGAGATCTAAAACCTGCAGGGACACCGGCCCTCGTGGACTGGGATTGGGAACCCCTGCCTTAGTGTGTCTGATTGTGATTTGTATTACATTTTGCATACTGCATGCAATTTGCAGCACTGTATGTTTGTGTGATAGCATGTGCCTCATGTCGCCTGCAGGGCAATTGTGTACATGTATACACGAGGCTAGCTGAGCCTCCCTGGCAGCACAGTACACATGCATATGCAGTCGGTTTAGTCCCCACGTCCAAGACTGTATCTGCTTAGTTGGGGTTTCATGTTTGACCACAACTTTATTTCATGCCTCCATGTACACTGAAGGATACACTGTGCGTCTGCCTGGTATATGGTCTGGTCGGGCTGGTTTACGTGCTGCATGGCGATGGCGTGGGGGAACTCGTTGAGCATCCGCTGCTGGAACGCCTCCAGCCTCTCGTAGTCGTGGCCTCGGCACACAAACTCCTTATTCTGCAGTGGAGGGGGGTTAGGAAAGAAGCAGCGTGGGGTTAGCTTGACATCTAGTGGGCACACACTGAAACTGCAGCACCATCTGCAAACTCCACCAAGGACAGGGCCTGTTACATCATTAAATGGCACAGAATAAGACTTGCTGAATGTCACCTTCCACTGGAAGAGTCTTATATAAGAAAAGTTAATTCTTTCAGAAGCGCCGTCTCTTTTTTGAAGAGGGTGAAAGTATTATTCCCTTCAACTAGCTGTTCAAGACAAAGAGGGAATATGGTGATTTACATACCCGTAAGAAGAAAGGAAACTTCTTCCCATAGAATCCGACTCTGAAGAATTCAGGTTCTAATCTTTGCTGATCCATGATCTTGTCATAGAGAGATGCTTCCATCATCTGACAATAAAAGACAAAACTGCTTATAAACCAACAGTGTCTAATCTGTTAGTTATATTGTGCATTTTTCTGACTAACCAGGGCATCATCAGGTTACAAAAAACAAAGGACTCCTCAAGCAGCATCCCCACAGCTTCTGGAACAACTTACCCTCATTTTACTCAAGTTCCTGTAGTCGTAGTACGACTCGTACTGGTCAGCAAGCTCTCTGCAAAGGATGATGCCATTCTCCCAACACTGAGGACACAAAAACACACACTTATTCCCTGTCACTTTCATCGTGCCCAGTCTGACAGTTACAGACTGACCCGAAACCTACTTAACACTAAGACACTTGTTCTGCAGTGCTCACACAATCGATCTCCACTGGATGGCACTGGCGAGTCAACAACGCCAGCAGACACAAACAACCTCTCGATGCAGGTACGTGCACCACCGACCATCTCACTAATTAAACGAAAAGCTTTCCTTTCCTGCTGCTTTCCACTCTGTGATCGGGAGCACTGGAAGATGGCATAATTCGTGAATGTAAAGGATATTTGCACTACGAGTAACGAGGGGTGGCATTTTTAACGATTCAAAGAGATCCCCTCCCCCCCAAACATCCGAGGTAGTGATGCGTTATTTTGAGAGGGTGAGCGTTGTTTTGTTTTGCCATTTCCCCCCTTCCCTTGAGAGTACAGAGAAACAGCAAAGGTAGTTAGGATAACGAGATAAAAGTGGAAAAGAGAAGTGAAGTTGGGATGATGAAAGAAAGCAGCCCCTGAGAGACGAAAACAAAACTACAGCCTGGGAACCGTTTATCAAGTGAGAAACGCTGCGTCCTGAATTAGCTGAGCTCTGTTTGCGCTCACATTTCTCACTGATGAGATTATTTTAGCTAAATGCGGCACCATCAGAGCGAATCATGCTTTAACAGTCGGCGTGGCCATCATCGCCATCTGAGAGGAATGGTGTGGAATACTGCGGGACAATATGGATCCCGCTCTAATTACAGCTACCTGCAATTTCCCTGATTAAGTGGAAGAGGTGCTGCTACCTCTAGTCAACGTCACAGTTCATAACAGAGAGAAATATCTGTGTACAAGGCTTTTGGCCTTTCTCTTTATTTAACGTGAATGATGTCGTATCTACTAAACAAGCAGGAAAAGAAGTTCTCTCATCTTTCACCCCGATGCGTCTGAGCCGACTATTAATGTTTCATGAAACTGTTGGTGCTTATTATTTTTGAAATATACGTATTAATGGCCAGCATATATTTACTCTAGGAGAGCCATCATGTCTGCGCCTCTATTTCGTTGCCAGGTATGAAATAGAAATGCATTTAAATTCGAAGGCTCTTGAATATGCATGAGAAGCTGACGTGCTGCTGGGTATTAGCTTGGCACAAATTCCTCTGAATAAAACTGAACATGCTGTTGCTTTACACTGGCACAGTACATTCACTGGCATTTAGCGGTGATATAGGGAACCAGTTGTCCTGCTGGTGTTTGGGCTCAGCTTACTTCCTTCATTCTACCTTGCCAGTGTGCTAGAAATGTCACAGATTACATCACATGACAAATGTTCTGGTTTCTGTAAAGTCAAATGCAAATGCATTGGATGGATGACTGTGGAGGAAAAACTGGCGCTTTCCAGCTTACCTTCCCCCTGTCGAAGTTCTGGATGATAGTGAGATGCAAATATTCTTTCCTTTGCCACTCGCTCTGCATGGGGTAGTTGAGAAACTCTCTGAGCGGCCTGTCTGACCATTCCAATAACTCGTCATAGAGCAGCAGGGTGTAGGACGCCTCTGTGAGCATACACAGAGAAAAACAGCATATTAATTTACATTTAACAGCTTGTTTTTTTTCTTGTTTAAAGAACTTGTGAATGATTCAGTGTCTCAAATACTGATGAATACACTGAAGCAGAAGAACATGAACAGATGACAACATGAAAGCACATTTCAATAATCATCATACAGTATGTGTTCAGACCAGGGGTTAAAGTGGGACGGATCTATGTGGAACCGCAATCCCACACCTTTGATTAATGACCAATTAAATCTAATAGGCAGTGAGGTTGATTTTCATATGCTGCAGTCTGGCGATGCTTCCAACTGATGCCACAGAAACCATTAAATCACCCCATGGTCACACCTGCATGCAGCATTTTTTACCCTCCTTCTCTCCCCTGTTGCAGCTGTGGTTAATGCTTACATGTCATATCCTGATTCACATGATTTATTTTTACATTTTTAATCCAAATGTGTGTAAAATCTATGATCTTCATCAGTCTAAATAATGCATATTATGTATGGGTTTTTCTTATTTTAAACATCTGCGGATATTCTGGCCTATCTCATAAGAGAAACATAACACTTTTTAGTGTCTATCCCTTTCTTTATTGGGTGACCACACTGCTAAAAATGTAAAACATTAACGTGGCCTCCAACACATTACCTATTTCTTCTTTTTATACTTTTTAGCCAATGTCTTTTTATTGAGTGTTTCTTTCATACATATAAACAAAAAGATGCTAAAAAAGAAAGAAAAGAAAAGAAAAAAGGGAAATAAAGAAAAAAAGAGAAGAATAAACATATGTTTAATATTTTCCCATATAACATAATCCCTGCAAAATAATTCATTCCCACCCAGGTCACTGCCCTAGACCTGTACACTGTTTTTCCACACCTGACATAAGAGAGTTTGCTGAAAAATTGTTATAGATTTTGAAATGCATCAAGGAAAGGACCCTACATGCTTTGAAATTTCCCAGTGGAGTTCTGACTGAATGTCTTATTTTCTCTTTTCTACACACAACATGAGGTCATATAACTACTGTTTGTGAGTGGGAGGGGCAGCGTTCCGCCACCTCAGTAGGATTGACCTCCTAGCCCACAGGGAACAGAATGGAGAGGAGAGTTGGTAGGAGGGAGAGGAAGACAAGGCTACTCTTCAGAATCAAGTGAGGAAGCTTTGCCCTGTGCATGTCTGCATTTCTCTGTTGCACTTTGTTGCACGTGCCTTCTAACTCCTTACTTCTCCTCTGCGTTTCCTGAAGCGCACACTGCAGGTCTTCATGTCTTTCCTCTTGTTCTTGATTTTGCGCCTGCACTTCAGTATAAACTTCTCTGTATTTTTATCAGCATTTCATTGAACCTACACTCCATCTTTGAACATCTTTTTTCATTCTAGTTCAATGGTTTTATCCTTCATTTTTTAACATATACCTGCCGTTCTAGATTTCTCCTCTCAAAGTCATAGAGAGTAGAGAATCTGGAGAAATTCAGCTTCTTTCTGATTTTCTTGCACTTTATCTTGAAGTATTTGTGTGTAATTCTATTTCAAGCGACACTTGCAAGCCTTCATTGTATTTCTCGATGCTCTGTTCTGTTTAAACTGTTAAAATTTTAATTGGTGCCCAAGGCGGGTAAATTGTGTCCAAAATGTTGCCACCAGATGGTGCATCTTTGTGGAGAAAAGCCATGAATCTGTTCATCTAAACCTGATCTATTTGTTAACATTATTGGAATGAGATCACGGATACAAGATGTGGGTAAGGTGTTCCGGTCTAGCATGTCCTAACATGCGTAGATCCCAACATGTTGACAAGATTACATCTATTGGCTGGCCTAGGAAAGACTCCCCGGATAAGCTGGAGGAGGTGGCCAGAGGGAGGTCTGGGCTTCCCTGCTGGCCGACTAAGAAATTAGTGATGGCTCATGTAATATCTTCTTATTAATCGTAGAATGTAGTGGCTAAATCCACAAAGTTTAGTAAACCTCAGAACCAGCAGCAGGAAAAGCTTCACAAAGAAAAAAAAATTAAAACCTACTGGACCTCACAATGGGAATTACGTAATGACTTATTTCTGTCCCCTTACAGCAGACCTTATGATTCCCTGCCAAATCCCAACTTAAAGCCCTGGTTATGACAAACAGTAAAACAGCAATAATGCATCACCCACGCTCAGTCACTCTGTACTACAAGGCAGTATATTCCTGTCAATGTACCTGTGTAGTTTTGTGCTTTCAGATGCAGATCATACAGTTTGTGAATGTAGCGGATGTACATCTCCTCTTTGTTCAACTCTGTTTTGTAGAAGTTCTGGCAGGAGCCGATGATTCAATGAAAAAACATGAGAGAAAGACGGAAAACATTAGCAGAGAGACCATCATAACCATTAGAGAGGGAATTTAAACAAGTAATGAAGGCATTTAAAAGTGGTGCAACAATATAGTTCAGCTGCTGATTTGCAGGAGCCTTTTGATCCCTCTGCCTACACACTAGGGCTGCCACAAACAATTATTTTGATAGTCGACTAGTCACCGATTATTTTTGCGATTAGTCGACTAATCAGATCATGCATCCATTGGACGTACAGCGTACACCAGCATACATCTGCTCTTATATAACTATCATTAACTTACAGCTTTAAGTGTTTAAGGTATGTGCTAACTAAAAACAAAGACAAGATTATAGTTTATTAAATTTTAATGAAATTTGCAGATTGTTTCGGTGAAGTTTAATAAACACCTTGCTATCTAAAATATAACGGGACACCGGAGTATATTCTCGAGCATCTCACACTTCTGATAATCAGTTGTCTGCTTGACGTTTATTCAGCTGTGTAAAAACTATAACTTTAATCTCAGCCAAACCGAAATACTAAAAAAAAGGCCAAACAATAACATTGTTAAGCTATCTAAGTGACTTATATATGTTTAACCTGAGTAGTGAAAGACGGCGGTGGGTGTTCTCACGGGCTCTAGTGAGCCTTGCCCCCGGCTAGCTATCGAGCTAGTGGGTAACAGACGTCTCCGAAAACGTCGGAGCACTTTTGAAAATATGTGGTGTCTTGATAAACTGAGCAGATATTTGAGGTTTACACAGTTACATTCTCGCCTGAAAATATGTTAAACGTTTATTTTGTGACCCAGAAAGAATAATAAGAGTAATATTAAAACTAACTAGCTGCCGCCATTGTTGGAAACTGAGCTGGGCTGCGCTATGAATTCTGGGACAGAGATACTTCTTCTTCGGAGTTTAACGGCAGCTGGCATCCTTGTACATGCAGTGCTGCCATCTTCTGTTTCAGTCCATTATTACACTCTTAAACCCTACTACTTATTCCTGCGTCTTTTGTGATCTTACAAAGCTTCAAACGGCGCGACGATTTTGATAGTCGACGTAATCATGACTAGTCGACTAATCGTGGCAGCCCTACTACACACTGAGGTCATCTTGCGCATAACTCCATTTAGATTAAAAAAAACCCACAAGAATACTCAATTATCAACTATATATAACATATGTTTTACTTTTTTCATCATTTTGAAATAAAAAGGTAATAACTTCAGAGTGGAATAGCAACAGAAGATAAACATTGACATATTTGCCTGACACTCACCAGTAAACTGACAGTACATCCGATCTTTTTGCCATCAACTTCTCCCAACTTCATGCAATCCCTGCAATAGAAACATTGAGAATTTGACTAAAAAGACCAAGCACGTGTGTCTCTGGAAGTATTTTGTGAACGTGTGCGCGCGCTCACCTGTAGTCTAGCAGTCTTTCCATTAAACGAGTGACGGTAGCGATCAGGGAGATCCCGCTCTCCCTCCAGGTCTCTCTCTCGATCTTCTTCAGCAGGCTGAAGGACAAATGAAGAGAGACAGAACAAGACAAAGATGTAAAGACCAAAAGAGACGGGGAGGGCAAATGGAGGGGGGGGGAGTAGATACGAAAGCATCGGCGATGGAAGAAACAACTAAGAAAGGAAAGGAGGCGAAGCAAAATTAATAGCAGTCATACTGGTGTCACCTATGCTTGTTGGCCTGCCTACAGGAGCTCAAGAAAGGATAAACGCAAAGGTGGCTAAAAAAATTTTTTACAACACCTTATTTACTGTTATGCCTCCAAAACAGGTTTTTATAGAATTAAGGGCAAACACACAACAGCCAAAATACTGAAGCTGTTTATTCTTCTTTTTTTTTGTGTAATTGCTCCACATTTCCCCTCACACAAACGACACTGAGAGAACAAAGAGGAGGGTGTCTTACCTAGGGTACGGACCAAACAGAGGAATTCTACTCCAGGCGGGAAGCATAGGCGGAATAAATTAATATTAATATTAGCACACACTCACACAGGTTAGTTTAGGGATTAGTGGAGTTAGTAGGAAAAAAAATAATTAGGAACTTAAAGTAGGCTTAAATCATGAAAAACAAAAGAAAATTGAAATTAAACATAAAAAACTGTTAATAATAACTTATTATGCATGATTACAATATAGCGCACACTATAAGTACTGAACTTTAATAAAATGCAGAGGCACTGCGGTTCATATTTTGTAATGTTTCACGTGTACAAATGGTGGGAAAGAGAATGATCGACTATGGAAGACAAAGGGATATTAGAAGTGGATCCATACTCATAAAATAGATCACACTTTGATTTGCGGTTGTGCGACAGCAGAAGAGTGAATCGGAAATACGACTTCATTTAATGCAACGTGGTTTTCTTTTCCTTCTTCTTTTAAAGTTGAAATGCAAGATTTTTGCTTTGAAAGCTTCAAATACTAGCAGCCCAGAGAGAAGGGCGACATAAAAATATGAACAGAAAAGAAGCAGGGACCAACATACGCACACACTCAGGTGAACACACACACACATATATGAAAAGGTGTGCACAAACACTAAGCATGCAGGGGTACAAACCTGGAAACTCAAGGACAGACAAAAGGAGCTGAACAAAGAGGAGGTGTGAGTGAAGATGAAGGCGATTAAATGCCCATCACTTACCTCTCACTGCTTGAAAAATATGCTTTACATAAGCAATTTCAAATACAAAACTACCTATTGTATGTTTGTATAATAATGACATGTTTGTTAGTTTGAAAGTAAGCCTGCAGCTTTCTGTGTTGCTTCCCTCATTAGCTACATGCTCTGAAAGCAACCTAACCCATTTAATGGCTTTCTTTATTGAAGTACAAGAGGCCTTTTCAGAGCTTTAATGCTGCTATCTGTGCTCTGGGTTTTCAGGGTTAAAGGCTAATTCTCAAAAGCAGAATACTTAGACACATCCACTTCCCGATAAAATGCCCATTTAGTGAGGCAAATGACCTGCAGATTGCAGCCCACGCAGATAATTTACCTGCCTTGTGTGGGTTGCATCATTTAGGTAATTAGACCTCCATAAACAGCTATTTTCACTGGAAGTGCCCAGGTCTCCTAAACTAGCCTTCATACACTTTCAAGTAGGTTTTTGCTGGGATTTTACTGTTTATTGTAAAAATTAATTAATTTTTAAAAATTGATTTAGCGGCCAAATTATTTAACAAATTTGCAGAAACCTTTCCTTCAAAAGTCTTTCTGGAAAATGTCTACTTTATTAGATTTTGTAACATTTTTTGATTCTTTTACCAACTCACATGCTGTTGAAGAGCTCCCTGTATGTCTCATCGCCTTTGCCTTCAGACATCAGGCTGTCCAGCTTGTCAATCAACTTGGCCTCCACCTGTGAGGAAAAGCATTTAAAGCTCAGAGGCTCGCAGTCTGAACAACACTGACATAACAAAGAAGAACGCAGAGCTTGATCTTAAAGTGTACAACATCAAAAAAGTAGCCTAAATTATCGGAATGAGAATGCATAATTCTCTTAAACTTGCAGTATTTGCAATGACCAGCAGAGGGACTCTGACTCTGACTGAGAAATATCTGACTGCTTATTGATCACTTGTTTTATTACCTGAATAGACATTTTACTAATGAGTTTTGAGTACTAGTTTATACAACGTGATACTTTTAGAGAATTGTTGATAATAAAGCAGGATATGCTTTAAAGAGTAAGTTTTGTGATTGACAAGACACCAATCGATCTCACCCCTCTGTCAATTTCTTTACAGTTAAATTGTTAGAATTTACAGTTATGTGAAAAACTAAAGACATGCCATGACCAAGTAGCCTGTAGAACCACCTTTAGCAACAAAAACGTAAGTAGTTGTTTTCTGTAATGCTCTGTCTGTCTGTCACATTCACATGCTTCAGTTCATATATTATACTAATTATTGTGGTTTCAGAAGTTTCAGAAATGTAAATAATAATATTATTTAGCAATGAGAAACAAAACCAGCTATAAATGAATGTAAATGTTTTAGAAGAAAATTAAACATCACACACACTGCAATTATTACAAGTTATATTTCCAATTATCCAGTTATATAGATGTGGCTTATTTTTTGATTATGACAAGGATGAATTTAGCTTTCATTAATCTTTGCAACTAACAGTTAAAGCCAAGATTAAATAGTTCTGAGTTGGTGAATTGATTTCAGTGAAACAGCAGCATGCAATACCTGCTTAAAATTGCCACTGCGTCTTTGCTCCCAGTCCATCATGTCATGGAAAATGGGGATCATGACATTTCTCAGATCAGGTTGAGGCACCAGCGTCACCTCCAGGAACGGCCCAATCATTGCTGGGATGAAGTTCAACTTATGTTCACCTGGAGGAAAGATACAGATCGGCACAGAGGTCAGGATTTCACTTTATCCCTGCACACAGCATATTGTTTATGTCAGAGACAATTTACCCCAACTCTGGAAAGGGGTCTTCCTTCAAAACCTTTGCAATAAATCCTGCTCTAGCAGTTCATGAAGTTCCCAAAAGCCCCAAAACTTTCTGTTTTGATTGTTTTCTGCTACTCCCCCATTCTAATCATTTAAACAAACATTACACCTTTAAAAAATAATGCCTCAGAAGTTTTGTTGTCTTTGGCTAACACAGCTCTGAAATCAAAAGGTCAAGTGGATTTCTCTCTGTCCTCCCTTTTAGACAGATTCTGATAAAGTGCACTTCACAAATTCCTTCCAATTTGGCTGAAGTGCTAAAACGAAACAACTTAGAGTGCACAGTTTATTCCATCATTTTCAGCAGAAAGATGTAATGTTATTATTATTATCAAATAAAAAAAAAGAAAGGAGGGAGGGGGGTTCCAAAGTGTACTTGAAAATGAGAAAAACCACACTTGAACAGTACGTTGGAAATTACCATAAAACAAAATTGCATCCATCCATCACAGAGTCAGAACAAAAGCATCCAAATAAAGGAGACCAAGGCATCCAGTCGGTTGCCATGGTGACAAATGGTATAAAGAAGAAAAAAAGGGTTGGTTTTTTTTTTTTTTAGATCCCATCAGCTCAAGTACAGAGAGTTGTTTGCTTTGTTGCATCACACAGATTCCAAGAGCTTTACTTTTGCACCAGAGGAGCAATAAATATGAATAAATAAAAACAGGATTTAGATAGTTTCAATATAACCACAGGACTTTAAGAGATCCAGCTATTGCTGAAATGGAAGACAGACAGTAGCACTTATAAGTACCTGCAAATATGCCATGTACGTCATTAGGTTAAAATCCCTTTCCAAACATTTAGGTGCTGCATCAGCAAATCTTTTACTTTTTTTTTTCTTTCTGCACACTCTCCAGCCTTTTTTTTTGGCCTCTTTTCCTTTATGAGCACTATGGAGGCTGTAGTGCCATTTATAAATGAAGATTTGGTCCGCATGATGGCCCACGTTGTTACACATCATGCAAATCCATCCATATAATGATCGAGACGGATCCCGTGCATGGAAACATTGAGTAAGTACTCAGTAAGTATCTCTTGTGAATATGCCACATGAAGGACGATGAGCTTAACAACTTTCTCCGTCATGGCTCTAGCCCATGTTGAGGAATAAGATGTGCACAGTGATGGGCACTGACACATTTTTCCCTCTATCACCTTACCTAAATTCTGCCACATGCTGAAGATCTCACAGCCCATCATCACCCTCATGTCTCCATATCTGCATGAAAAAAAAAAACAACAAGATGCAGTTAAAAATGTGTGCACATACTGATGGAAGCTGTAGAAGAGCATGTTAAGCAGTCATTAGAGTGAGTGTACACTGTGTGTCCAGCTGTGTTGAGGTTCTTGACAGACAGGAGGAGCAAGATAGAGCGGCTTGTTGAGTAGGCGTGTGGCTCATTACAGACTGCTCTAACGCATCCAGCAAAGAATACCAAGCATTTGCAAATAATCAGCACTTACTTTTCCAGTATTTTCTTTCTCTTGGAGGGAGAGAAGGATTCAAGTTGAAGACAGGGCTGGTTGATAAATATTACAGACAGGTAGAAATACGAATCCCACACCTGCAATAAAAAAACATCACTTTGTTAACGTGCACAACCTCCTGACTTTAACCTACAAAAGTGTCTACCTGCACGTGGGTACACAGTAACTTACTATGAGACATAATACTGATAGGACAAACAGCCTCGCAAATCTTCAGATTACATCATTTTCATTAAGCCAATAGCAGCAGCAATCCTACAAAATTCCGCTATTAAAGGAATTCAAACTGAAAAAAACAGACCATAGGATAAGCCTATATGCTGATGATGTGTTACTTTACCTTGAGAACTCACATACCTCTCTTCTTAAGATGATCACACTTATAGATCACTTGTCTATATTAGACTATTCCATCAACTAGAGTAAATCAACAGTTTCGCCTCTGAATTGAATCTTTAAGAACATCTCCACCACTGCACTACAGTCAGGTAACATCAGATATTCGGGTGTAAAAATTTTCAGACTGAATCACATTCCGCTACTAATGTAGAGGGGATTATCTCAGAGTGCAATACTTCACCTATATCACTCATGGGGAGAGGTGCGACAATTAAAACGATGGCCTAAAATCAGCCATCAGTCTATTGATTGGTTTAAGACACTAGACTCAAACATCTCAAAATGTTTATGAAAACAACAAACCATCACGAATCAGTTTAAAAACGCTAGAAAAGCCAAAATGCACTGGTGGTCTAGAATTACCCTTTTTTTTCTATATGTTTCCAAATGGATCAAATCAAGCCTGTTAGATAGTCCATGACTGTACCTGGTCAAGCACCATATAGAAAAAAATACTGAAACCAGATTAAGTATTTGATGTTGGCGTAAAGTATATTTATTGTTCTTTCTTCTGTTTTTTAGCTTTCAGCTCACTACTGCACAGTCTGCCTTAAGCATCTAAATAATAGTATTAGCTCGATTTTATATCCATGTCTCAGTTTTTGTGATGTGTGATGAACTTCCATATTATATATGTGCCTGCCTGTGTGTCAGTAGTAACGTAATGCAGCAGACTTTTTGAAGCTATTTTGACATTCAGACTTCTGAAGCACTGCAGCACTGTTCAGACAACACGCACACACACGCACACAAAGCCTGCCAACTTTCCTTACCTTGTAGTCAAACTTGTCATTGAGGAAGTTTTTCCTCAGAGCGTCAGAAAGGTAGAGGACAGTTGTGATGATGACACTAAAAGAACAAAAAGGGACGCAGAAAGCAAGAGGTGGAGAAGATTACTACTGTGTCACCTCGGAGGGGAATCTGTCATTTCCATTCTGCACTGCTAAAGGAAAATACGAGCAGAGAGGCAAAACCATAAACAGCTAAGGCATAACATTTTTAAATTACACTTTTCTGCCTGACAAAACTTTTTATTATGAAACTGTTACTTGTTTTTCCTGTATGATATCATCTCTGTGTCACTTGATAGTGACCTCCAGACAATAATATGGATGGATAAGCACTGCATTTACTCTCATATTAAATGAGCACACTACATTCAAATCTCTCCATCTTCTGAAGCTTTTTGTGCGATCAAACTCAAGTGTTAACTGAGAGAACCGAGGTTGAATATTTTAGCAGATGAAAGCACACAAACAGAATAAACGACCAGTTGTGAGTGAGATGCATACTGCATATCTGCATGAGCCTCTGATTTCCTGTCTGTCCTCATTCGTGTCCTCTTCCTGCTTTCCTTGATTTGTTTGCGTGTGTGTTCTTACTTGTTCGTGACCAGTCTCATGACAGTCCAGTCTTTAGGGAACATTTCTGGTCGGATTAGGATCCTGAAGACTGTAAAGATATGAAGGAGGAAATCCTGCAACACAAACACAAACACACAACAAGTTTGTTACTCAGTAAAGAGTTATTGCAGAAGTTTCGGGATGGAGCTTATTTCTGACAACCATTTACTATCCTATTATATATTAGGTGTAATTAAAAATATATAAAAGAAATGTCTGTGTTTCTGTTGGCCATTTTAATATTTTCTAGCTATAAGCTGCTTCTTGACTTCTCTTTATCTCTGCACGCTCTGTGGGAAAACAAACAACCTAAAACTTCACTGCAGATCCTTTTTCCATTTGTACCTCCTCTGATAGACTTGGATCGACCGATTTTCCATTAACAAACAAGATGCTCTTATGACTCATCGAGTGACACCACTGACCAGCCAATTGGTGGCATGCAGTCTGACGACATCACATTTTAGAACCTGCGTGGATCGCTTTGGAACCCTGGCCATACAGGTACTATGACCTAATGAAAAACCCTGAAACCGGTGGTGAGCTGTGGCGAGTTGATCCAAGTAGGTACTAATGGAAAAGGGGCTCTTTTCCAGTGTGAACCACATTAAATCTGCTCAGAGTTAGTATGAAGGTAGAACAACTTCCTCTGCATCTGTCCATGGTGCTGAATTGTTAATATCAGCTCTATTTAAGGACACTACACTGTACACAAATATCTGATCCTAACACTTCTCAAGTGTTAAGGCAAATGCAGATCTACTATGTAACTATGTAGTCTGTACATAGGATAGGATGTGCTGTGTTTTCAACTGTAATAATATTATACACTCAAAGTCTGAGCCTCTAGAAAGATGCGCTGCACATGTGAAAGCAGTAAATCTGGTTTCATCTGCATGTTTCACTTAGGTTTTACCACCAAACCCAGCATCAGGGTTCACTTAGTAAACTCTTTTGATTACACTTTTTTGATACATGTATCAAAAATAGAACTCACAAAAAGCACATTACTTCAGTTAACATTAATTCCCAATAGAGCAAACCCATGAACTTAATATCTTTCTGTCTCTTATTTTTCCTCCTGCCCAATTCTACACAATTTGTAGAAATTGTAGTAATGCCATCAACAGGCATTACTTATAATCTTTTACTTTTAGACTTGCAGACAGACACAATCAGGAGTAGAGACAGACGGACAGATATGGATGGAGGGATAGAGAGAAAGATCGAGTGGTCTTACCCTCAGGTCGTCTTTGCTGCTGAACGCCTGCAGCAGCTTCTGATAGTGCTTGTCACTCATCTGTCGCAGAAGCGCCAACAAACATGCCACAAATTCTCCCTGACAACACAACACATAATGAGAGGGAGAACATGGAGCTTCAATGTTGTTGCATATTCAGGACAAACTTTTCTTTTTCTATCCTTTTGGAGGAGAAATGAGTTCAAAAAATAAGATCTATTGTGCTTTGAAAATAATAGTGGAACTAGTAAGAATTGTACTTATGTTAACAGGATTTTTAAAAGAGTTTCCACCTTGACCTTCCTTCATCAGACAACGATGATCTCATTGTCATCCACCTCACCATTTCCG